TTTTAAGCGGACGGTAAGTACTGCTTATTCAGCGATTTTTGCAAATTTGCCTTCATCGATTCTTAAAAATTATACGTATTGCTAATTTCGAATTAAACGCATTTTAAGTTATTGATTGAAATTTGACTTTCCGAATTAAAAAGACTATCGGACAAGAAGTAATATAACTATATAGAAAAATATTTGCAAACGAGGTCACCAGATATCTGTGATAATGTTTTATGCAAGATTAAGCATGGCTTAGTGTTTATGTGCTTCATAAACTCAATATACTGTTTTATTGATTTATATCAAACTCCAAGTTGAGATATGAAAAAGTTATGGAGGGATAAAGTAAGATTCATAGAAGAAATAAATATCGCTAAGTCAAAAAAGTGCCATTTTTGAGATATGCCACTCTTTGAGTGAATGAGCGATTTATATCTAGTCATATTCGTAATGCTAATAATAATGATAAATTTCTTAACAACTTTATATTTATATTAATTATATTAATTTAACGCCACAAACATTTTTTTAAGTGAAAAGCCACAAAGGGATTTTTCATTGTTAAGTGATGACAGAGAGATTAAAATCTTCCAAAATCAGACAATTAAAGAAACATTTAACAGTTTAATTAGAATACCACAAAAAAAGTGGTAGCAACAACCGACCTCTGCACGTTACTGGTTATTCACCTGCAATGCATGCTTGTATTTTTATAACATTTATGAATCATAGAATAGGTATGAAATTATTTTGAAAAAAAACTGGTATTGTGTAATTTGTCAATTAATTTTTTTGACAATTGCTAAATACGTGAGGCAGAGTTGTACATTTGTTGTTGTACCTTTTTTATACCCTACACCACAAGGTGGTCAGGGTATTATGTCTTTGTGCATTTGTTTGTAACAGGCAAAAGGAAACGAGATAGACCCATAGTTCCTTTTGATGATCTGCATAGAATCACTTTCTGAGTTGATTTATGCATGTCAGTCCGTCTGTCCGTCCGTCTGTCCATGTATTCTTGTGAACAAAATGCAGGTCGCATTTATTATCCGATTGAGATGAAATTTTGCAAACAACATTTGTTTGGCCCAAGGACGAACCCTATTGAAATTGGAGATAATCGGTAAAAATTTAGATATAGCTCCCATATATATCCTCGTCCGATTTGCCTTTTATTGTGCACCAAACGTGTAATATCAGCCCAAATAGTATGGAATTTTGCACATACAACCAAATTAGGCCTGAAAATGAGTATGCCAAATTTTATAGAAATCGGTTCTGATATAGCTATAGCTCCCATATATATTGTTCATCCGATTTGTTATTTTTGTCCTCCGCAGCCGTAATAACAATACAGTATTAGTAACAACAATATTTGGGGGAATATATCAAATACAGCTCAGGAATACCTTTCCTTAATTTTATCGAGATCGGTTCAGATTTGGATATAGCTCCCATATATAAGTTAATCCGATTTACTTTTAATTGTGCACCAAAAGTCTAATATTTGTCCAAATGGGAGGGAATTTGGCACTTACGACCGAATTGAGTCTAGAAGCTAGTATGTCAAATTTGGTGAAGATCCGTTCAGATATAGCTATAGCTTCCATATATATTATTCATTCGATTTGTTATATTTGTTACCCACAACCCACAACCGTAATATGCACTCCGTAACAACGATATTCAGGGAAATTGTATCGAGATCGGTTCAGATTTGGATATAGCTCCCATATATATCTTTATCCGATTTCAAATTAATTGTGCACCAAATGGGCAATACAATTCCGAATTTAAAAGATACAAATGCTTTGGCATATTTAGTCCTTTGAACTTTAAATTATAATTATAATCATAGCGTTTATGAATGAATTCTCCCATAAAAACTTTTAATTGTTATGTGGAGCTCTACTAAATTAGCAATGTGGTGTAGGGTATCATAAAGTCGGCCCCGCCCGACTTTAAGACTTTCTTTACTGGTTTAAATTAGTGCCCATATACATATACGCCTAATACGTAAATTATTAGTACATGGTTTCTTGTCTGTTTTGATCAGCATTACTCAATAGATCATTTTGAATGTACTTTTATATCTTCAATCAGATGAAGTTCTTGTCGGAATGCGACTAAGGAAACCTATTTTAGTTGAGTGTTTTTAAGGGTGTTTATTTTTACAAATATTTGCACAATCCTTGATACTCAATATTAGGTGTACATAACCCAATACGATAACTCGATAATCCGAAAGTCTATTAAGTGAGAGCGAGTGATTTTGACAGTTAGTTACTGAGAGTGTGCAAGTTTTTACTGCGAAAATTTCCTCAGTGAGAATTATCTAGTTGCTGGAAAAAATCGGCTGTTTTGTGGCCGGGTTAAAAATCATTTAGAATTTCATGTAATAATTGAAATATCTTAATTTTTTTCTTGTAATTAATTGGATTATACCATGAAATAATTATTTTTCACTATTAATCTTTATTCCAAACAAAATGGATTATTTTCTAATAAAAATATGTACGTATTTACATATTTTTTATCTATATCAATAAAGAGAAAAGTAATTGACTGACTGATTTAACGATTCGTCAACGCCCAGACGAAACGGCAGAAATTATGTGTGAGGGTCACTCTTGGTCCGAAAGTGTCAAATAAGACTGGGTTTTTTAAAATAGTACGTATTTTAAAAAGCGGTACGAAAAGTACTGAAAGGTACAAAATATGGTATCCGTATTTGACGAACCAGAAGATTTGGAATGAGGGTCACTTATTTTGTGCATGATAGGTGTATCAAAAAGCTTTTGGAAATACGCACTATAAGTGTACGAAAAGTACTTAAATTTGCTACATTTGTTACCATTTCGTATCATCTGAATGGTTAGAACTAAAAACTTAAAATTTGGAATGGAAACCAAGGTTAAGGAGTAGGCTCGATGTAATAAATCAGTTTTGGAATTGTGTATTTATATATAGGAAAAGTACTGCACGGTACTAAATTTGGTACAATTTAAAATTGGAGGAGTAGATGCAGCTGGAATTCTGAAATTTGAAATGAACATTTTTGGCGGAGTGTAGGATTGGGATATGGAGGTAGTTTTCGAAATTTGTACTTATGTGCACGAAAAGATCTGAATGGTACTAAATTTGGTACAATTTCGATTTATGTGAACCGATAAAGCTGGAATGCTAAAATTTGGAAATAATGCAAGCCACACACACACGATACAATTGGTTGTACAACTTGGAGAGATTGTATTCAAGATTGTATCGTTTGTGTACCGGTTGTAAGAAGTTTTGTCTTGGTTGTACAAAAAATCAATTTTTTGATATTTTGCATGTTGTAACAACCAATTGTAACGTTTAAACTTAACTCAAATAAAATCTACGAAAAGTGAAGTTGTACAAAGAGGTTGTACACAAAGTTGTATCGTTTGTGGCCGAAGCGTAAAATTTTGCAACCCTCTAAGTTAACGGTTATATCGTGTGTGGCTTCATAAGATTACTATTACAATGTAGGACTGAGGTAGGAAATGCGTACTTATGTGTCTAAATGGTGCTAAATTTAGTCCGATTTAAATTTTGGGAGAACCGATAGAGTTTGAATCCAGAATTTTGGAAATAATATTACTATTGCTTTATAGGATTGGGATATGTAGGAAGTTTTGGAAATTTGTACTTATATGTACTAATATGTGCAAAATTTTGTACAATTTGTATTTCGGTAAACCGATAGAGTTGGAGTCCTGAAATATGGAATTAAGATTACTGATGGTGTGTAGGATATGTAGGTAGTTTTGAAAATTCATACTTATGTGTACTAAATTTAGTACAATTTGGATTTGTGTGAACCGAAATGGGATGGAATCTTGAAACTTGGAATTAGGATTACTGTTGAAGTGTAGGATTGCGGTGCATACTAAATATTACTAAATTTGCTATAATTTTGATTAGGGTGAACCGAAAGAGCTGAAATCTTGAAATTTGGAATTAAGATTACTGTTGGATTGGATTATGTAGGAACTCTTGGAAATTCATACTTCTGTGTAACTAATGGTACTAAATTTGCTATAGATTGGGTTTGGGTCAACCTATAGATCTGGAGTCTTTAACATTTGGTATTATTTTTAAAACTAAGTACTACAGGAGTACAAAAGGTCCGAACGGTGTTAAATTATACGAAATTCGGTATTGCGTCGACGGATACTGCGTGAAATCTAAAATTTGACACTGAGATCACTGTTAATGTGTAGGGTATGATTTGGAGGTTGTTTTGGAAATACTTACTAAAAATTACTAAATTTGTTATTTGGGTATGGGACTGAGTTGGAGTCCAAAATTTGGCATTAGGACCATCTTTTATACTGTTAATCTGATACGTGGAGCCGAGATTTTTAAATAAGTACCAAAAAAGTAAGAAAAATGCTAAAATAAAATAGCAATAAATGGTTAGGTTTGGGGAAGGAATATAGATGGAAATCTGAAATTTGAAATGAGAGTTTTCGATGTGGTTTTGGAGAGACAAACTATCGTTTTTTTCGAAATTCAAACAATAAGTATGTGACAAATGTACTAACATGCACTTAACTTGGTGCTAGTTTGAAATTATCTGAACGGATAGAGGTAAAATTTGAAATTTGGTACGAAAATCAAGTCTGGGAAGTAGGATTGATATAAGAAGGCGATTTTGGAAATGCGTAATAAACCTATACGAAGAGTACTAAATGTTAGGGTTGAGAGATGTTTCGGAAATTTGTACCAAAAAAGTACGAAAGTACTAAATACTTCTAAATTTGCTATTTATGGTAGAAATAGAGCTGGAAGTCTAAAATTTGATATTTGGATCGCTTTTTGTGCGGCAGGAATGATATGTATAGGTCGATTTGTAAATATATATATATATATATATATATATATATATATATATATATATATATATATATAAAGCGCTAAATGGTATTAAATCTGGAAAGTCATCCAATTTATAATTTAATATCAATAAATTGTGGTCTCTTATTTAAAGCTTTTTATTTGGGTACAAAAAATTCTCTTAACATAAATTCACTTAATATAAATTGCTTATTCCACATACAAAATAGCGGGCATTTGCTAGTATACAATGAATAATTTTACTAAAATCGGAAGTAGATTTATTTCATTTTACCTAATTACTTATATTCTTCCCTTCACCGTTTTCGTTGCACAACGTTAGACCCTCACCAAGGCAGGCAGCATATGCAATGAGATGAGGTATCGTATTTTGCTGCAGAACACCAGTAAATAGATAATCATGGGGACCCGAAGCATAGACACCAACATCCTCACCGGAATGTGAGCTGTAAAACGAAGGAATATAACTGGGATATGGGCTATCTGAAATTGGAGAGAATTCCTAATCAATTGCCATTTCTTTTTGATAACAACTGCATTGTCTTACCAATTTTCCATGACAATTTGCCAAGATCCAAACGTTTTCCCGTTTTCTCATCACGATATTGTTGCGGACCCATCGGATAATTTAGTGTGGAAAACTTCAAACCATCCGAAGCTCGTTCATTTTCATTGAGGCCCAATATGGGACTACCACGTCTTGGATAGCCACCAATAGTTAAGGGTTGGCCATGATCGGCTGTGACCACAATGAGGGTATCTTTTGGATCTGTCATATCGCGAGCCAATTGTATGGCCTTTTCAAATTCCAATGTTTCATCCAAAGCCAAACCGGCCTTTGTGGAATGATGGGCTGAATCGATTTTACCGCCTTCGATGAATATGAAATACTCTCGATTTTTACGACGCAAAAAATCCAATGCCACTTTTGTCATTTCCATTAACGTGGGTTGTTGTGCCTCATCAGCCAGGGCATGATATTGCATGGTTTCACTTTGAAATATACCCATGATATGTGAAATTTCAGAAGTATTTGCTTTGAACAACTGTTGGCGATTTGTCACCAGCACTCCTTGGGGATGCATTGTTTGCCATAGAGAAAGTAAATTTCTATTATCCTTCCGTTCGCCCCCATTGTCATGAAAGTCTTTGGTAGTCCGGGGTATAAATTTACCCATACCACCGCCCATTATTATGTCGAAATTACGCCCCGGCTCTTGGCTAATCAATTGTTGAGCCATATCTGGACAAGTGCTGGTATCGATTTTACCATTGGAGTATTTAATTATGTCGCTATCACTTTCCCACAAGCGACTTGCCACATGGGCGTAGGTCCCTGCCGGACTGGCATGCGTTAGCGAGGTTGTGGTTATGAATCCAGTTGCTTTTCCCGCCTTTTGTGCCCAGGCAAGTATGGAGGAGACTTGATTTGCCGGATCCATGCTGGCTGTACAATTACCAAATTCTACATGACCATTTACACCAATGGTGCCAATATTTCCCTTTACACCACATAGATAGGCGGTGGCAGTACAAGCGGAATCTGCCACCTGGGAATTAGCGCAATACGTCTAAGGGTGGAAGAAAGATAAAGAAAGTGTACTTGCAGATTATACATCGCAAAGTATCCTTAATAGCACACCTCGAATTTGCACAAAGAGTGAAACCTACTTGAATTTGAGGGAGTGAGCTCCTGGGAGCATTAAAAAATTTGAGCAACCTCAATTTTTAGATATCGCTCGAATATGAGTGAGCATGTTTTTTTATCGCTTTTGGGTAGAAACAAAATTCGCTCAAAATCGTTGAATATGAGTGAGCATGTTTTCATCGTTATTGAGTGGGAACAAAATGTGCTCAAAATCGAGTAGATTGTACTCTTGACGAGCACTCTTTTAGTTTTTGTCACACTGTTGTTGTATTTCTATATATGTGTGTTATTTTATACAAAATTATTCCCCTCCTCAAGTTTTATCATAAGCCATTACAATATTGAAATACGAAACTTTAAAAATCCGTGAATAATATAGCTAAAATCATCAAAATACCGAAGATAGGGAGGTACTGATATATGGGGCTTGTACGAAGGCCTGGACCAGCATAGACATTTTTGTCATAGGCTGTAGTTCCCATTACGAACTCTAAATACGCAATTTTAAACAACTCCGGTGAATAACGTCCCAAAAATCGCCAAATGTCTAATATCGGGCTATACGATATGTCGTTGTATGTGGGCTATACGATATCTTGAACCTATGTAGATATATTTCTTCCGGGAAGAAAAGTGCTTGGAAAGAACTTCTAGTATGGATTTTTAGACAATTCCAATGAAAAATGTATCTAAAATCATCGAAATACCGAATATAGGGAGGTACCGTTATATTGGGGATAACGGTTTCAGACAATTTCCTTTAAAAAAGTGGCTAAAATCATCAAAATACCGAATAACGGGGGGGGGGGGGTGGGTACCATTGTATGGGGGCTATACGATATCGTGGACCGATATAGCCCATCTTCGAACTTGACCTGTCTGTAGACAAAAGACTGACCTGTGCAAAATTTTAGCTTCCTATCTTTATTCATTTTGACTCTAGCGTGATTACAACATACGGGCAGACGGACGGACGGACAGACCTACTAAATCGTCTTAGAATTTTACGTTCATTTAGAGAAAACTCTTGCTCTATATTCAGCTTGATTGGAGAGTAGATTCCGTAAAAAATCTCCCACTCTTTGAGCAATCCTGCTCCTGAACAAGTTTCGCTTTCGAGTGAAAAAGAGCAAATCTGTGCTTTGCTAAATAGGGACGGCAAGTTTCCCCCTTCCACATTTTTGGATTAAGATTCCTTGGGATACAGGCATTTTAAATGTATAGTGTCCTAATAAAAATACATACATATTAAAACACATTTTAGGGATACTCCTACAAGGCATCATTTTAGAAGGTTAACGACAAAGACTCAATTATTCTTCGTCAAATTTGACTGTGAGTCACCAAGGAATGGAAATTTATATTCCTTTACTTCCATTATACTGAGTTGATGCAACAAAATTGAAATTTGGTCCAAAATAAGATGAAGTACAAGAGGTTCTGGTGTACCGAAGTGAATGAGAATTATATTTTTTACGTTGTCAGCAAGTGAAATTGCATGCCCTGGTCTGTATAGCATAAAAAAATTTAAAAAAAAAATTTATAAAAATTTTTTAAAAAAATGTCATATTAAAGGAAGGAAGATCGCAACATAGTTTAAACTTGGAACATAGTAATATTTAGATAAGGCCTAGATGAGGTGAGAAAATGGTCCTCCGTTCTTATATATATTCTAACATAGTAGCCAATTATATTAAATCTTTTGGTTCTTCAATACCTACCTTACTTAGGGCGACATAAGGGAAATTTTCGAAACTCAGTGACTCCTCTTCGCCCGTTTGATTTTTCCTTTGTCCCTTGAGAATGCGGGCTGCTGTAAGGGTGCTCACTGACATACCGTCGCCGAGAAACAGGATAACATTTTTCGCTCTATTTAAATTCAGTTCTTTTCTCTGTAAATTTTTCAATAATTCCATTTGGCCGATTGAATGCCAATATTCTGCATGTTTTTCCACTTTTGGAGTAAATCTATTTTCATTGAATATCTTTCGAGGATTAAAAATTTCGGGTTTTGATTCACTATGAGTTTTTTGCGTACCGCCACCATTGTGTAATAATAACCAAATTATGAGGACGATAATTATGAAACTTGCTAGAATTTTGTACATAGCTCAATGGTGTGTTAAGCTTTGAAGTGTTTTAATGAGACTAATTTTGGTAAGTGTTAAAAAGGCGGCATATATCAAAAGTTGTCTTTTTTTTTTTTTTGGATTACGAACTGGTTTTCATGAAAATATAATATAGTGCTTACGAGCGTCAGTTACAATTACACGATTTTACAAAATAATGACCAAGATATTTGTTCTTATAGGGGAATATGGGTAAGGAAAAAAATTCAATTGTGAAGTTAGTTTCAAGTTTTAAAATGAAAAAGAGGTTTTTTATAAAAATGAAAGACTAGTTATAAAAATATTTTAGAATAGATAGTAAATTAAAGCAAGATTATACACAAAATGTCAATTTTTTACATTTATTCGAACAGTGCTTAAAATAAATATAAGTAACGCAAAATTATAAACGCACCCGAACCTGTTGTTGAGTGTAGCAGCAAAAGGGCAATAATTTAAATCGCTCTCTTGACAATAATGTGTTACATTAACGTAGCTAATCTGTCAGTTTTATTGATGTCGTAAAATCGATATTATAATTACTAATCTTCTTCAACTACACAAAAATAAAACAACCGTTAACAATATAATGTGAACATTGCAGGTTTTTTTTTGCCCAGTCAGCATTTGTTTTTTTAAAATTTAATCATATTCGAGTCTTTTTTGATCCTGTTGCTCGATTAAAAAGCTGGAATATGAGCGCATTTTCTGGTCATAAAATACTTATTTGTCGGGAGAAAAACGTGACCCCCGTGACTCTTCTAAATAAATCACATATGAGTCTTCATCTAGATTAGTTAAGAGTCTTTTTCGACCATTTTCTGATCGTTCTAGGAGTCTTTTTCGAGTCGTTTTCTAATTATTTATTGCACTAATACTCTTAATTTGTGAATCTTTTTTAAGTCATTTTTTGATCATTTATGAGTCCTTAGTGAGTAATTTTTAGCCTTTTAAGTGTCATATATCATTTAGGAGTTCCTGGACATTCTCTTCATTATTCACATCTTCAGCTTTACTTATTTTTTTGCAAAATTAAATTTTCAGCCTCTTTTTTTCGCCATCCTTTTTATACCCTCCACCATAGTATGGAAGGTATATTAAGTTTGACGTTCCGTTTGTAACAACTCGAAATATACATTTTAGACTCCACAAAGTATGTATATTCTAGATCAACATAAAATTCTATGCATTGCGATTTAGCATTGTCCGTCCGTCTATTCGTCTGTGGAAATCACTCTAGCTTCCGAACGAAATGAAGTAGGTTGATGAAAATTAAATGACAAAAGTTGCTTATGCAGGTCCACGTCGTCGCATAGACCCTGATATACGGCTACATTCGGTATTTTAAGATTTTTGAAAATTGCCAAATTTGTACCAAATGGTGGAGGGTTCGGCCGGGACAAACTTACAGCTTTTTCATATGTTATTTTTGCCTTTTCTATTTTTTAAAATTTGGCTGGCTGACATTATTCTTTATAAAAATTAATAAATAAATAAACAAACAGATAAACGTACACTTTTTAATATATATATTTTCCCTTCTTAATATCTTACACTTTCACTGTTTGCGCCTCCACGCACTTTTTATAAATGAACAATGAGTCAACTTTTTTATAGCCACTCCAGAGACGCAATAAAATGACCCATTACGCATAGCAAAACAAGCAGCATTTAAGAACTTGTCTGTGCAAAATGTGATCAAAAAATACATAATTATGATAATTTTTCAAACAGCTGCATGACTTTTTAAGACTAATTATTTTTAAATCTGTACATGATCGGTCAAAAAAAAAAAAAAAAAAAAAAATGGCAAAAAATTAAGAAATATTTTAGATTTTTTTGGGAACATGAAAATAGGGATTTCTTCTCTTTGGTGATCCTTTTAAATGTTGCTTTGTATGAGATTTTTGCTTAAATTCGCATAAAGTACTGCTTTAAACGTAAAATGTGGTTTTAATAAGTGTTTCGATATTTTTGTGAGATTTAAAATAAAACAAACACATAAGACTATAAAGATTAGCCAAAATGCATATTGCCTTTAATATTTCATCAGGCAATAGCCGAGAGGACATGAAAAAATGCATTAGAAACATTACAGAAATATGCTATTCCGAAATCGCTAAAAAATTACGCAAAACCTCGGAAAGAAGGAATATATATGATATGCGTGGAGTCACGAAATGGTAACAACATATTTTTCTACTACCAACACCATCTATTGAATAAAACCAACAATAAAATGTACCATCTTATTATACCCTATACCACAAGGTGGTCAGGGTATTATGTCTTTGTGAAATTGTTTGTAACAGGCAAAAGGAAACGAGATAGAGCCATGCATGTCCGTCCGTCTGTCCGTCTTTTTTTTTTGTATACAAAGCACAGGTCGCATTTATTACTCGATCGAGATAAAATTGTGTACAATACATTTGCTTTACCCAAGGATGAACCCTATTGAAATTGGAAATAATCGGTTAAAAGTTAGATATAGCTCCCATACCACCACCAAAGGACCAAACGTCTAATATCAGTCCAAATAGTATTGCATATACGACAAAATTTGGGGAAATATATCAAATACAGCTCAGAAATACCTTAGCTTAATTTTATCGAGATCGGTTCAGATTTGGACATAGCTCCCAATATATATATATATATATATATATATATATATATATATATATATATATATATATATATATATATATATATATATATATATATATATATATATACGTGTAATTTTAGCCCAAATGGAATGGAGTTTGGCAATTTGAGTCTAGAAACAAGTATGCCAAATTTGGTGAAAAAAGGTTCCATATATAATGTTCATCCGATGTGTTATATTTGTTCTTCACAGCCGTAATATGCACTCCGTAACAACGATATTGGGGGGAAAATATTAAATATAGCTCAAAAATACATTTGCCAAATTTTATAGAGATCGATTCAGATTTGTATATAGCTCCCATATATATCTTTATCCTAATTGAAAAAGCAAATTTAGTAGAAATCAATTCAGAGGAGGATATTCCTCTCATATACTACTTCATTTGGACTTTAAATTATAACTATAATCATAGTTGGTATGATTTGACTTTTATATGTGATGTGAAGCTCTACTAAACATGCAAAGTGCTGTAGGGTATCAGAAAGTCGGCGCCTCCCGACTTCAAGACTTTCTTTACTGTTTATATTATGTGTCTTTGCATGGGACCATAAAGATTGGACACAATGTATATGTAACACTCCGTTTGTAACACTCCTAAATATTCATCGTATAAATATTCATGATCAGCATAAAATTCTAGGTCGATATAGCGATGTCCGTCTGTCTGTCTGTTGAAATCACGATACTGCCCACATTTTTTGACGTATATTTCCAAAATTTGGCACAAAAATTTGTATTGTGTCTAGGATGGTTGGTATTGAAAATGATATATCGGTCCACGTTTTGGTATAGCCGCCATATAACGGTGCCTCCCGATATTCGGTATTTTGATGATTTTCGTCACATTTTTTCACGGATTTGTCCAGAATTTAGTATTTGTAGGTCATAATGGATTCTAGCTCCGTATGTATGGGTCGACGTTGTAAGTATGGGTGCACGTTTTCGTATAGCCGCCATAAAATGGTACCTCCTGATATTTGATATTTTTATGATTTTTCCCACATTTTTTCACGGATTTGTCCAAAAATTGGTAATTGTAGTTCGCAATGGGTTTTGACTCAGTGGCGGAACATGATTTATTTATTTATTATACCCTACAACACTATGTGTTGGGGGTATTATAAGTTTGATTGGCCCAAAAATTATGTAACACCTCGAAATATTGGTTTCCCATATAGGAAAGTATATATGGATCTTCCTAGCTCGCCGAGCTGAGTCGATCTAGCTATGTATGTCCGTCCGTCCGTCTGTCCATGTTAATTTGTAATCACTCTACAGGTCGCAATTATGGCCCGATCTTCACGAAATTTAGAATGGAGGTGGGACTAGGGTCAGAATAGAAGCCTATTTCTTTTGGAGATGATCGCCAAATGTTTAGGGGTTGAAATGGACCAAATACTGAAAAAATGTCGGATTTTGCAGTAGCTATACAGGTCGCAATTACAAACCAATCGACGGAATTTCGCATGTAGCTAGAGTTTAGGGTGGGGAAGAAGCCTACCAATTTGGGTGGTCATCGGATAATATTTAGCGGGTAAAATAGACCATATCTTTTGTGTTGAAAAAATTCAAAATTTTTCATTAAATCGCGAATATTCTAAATCCCGGCGAAATCACAAAGCCATGACAAGGTTACTTCTGATCTTTACATTGATGTTAACACCCAACAAAACGGATATATAGCAAAATATGTGCGATATATATGTTTATCAAAGAAGATATGCTTGAAAAATCTCTTATATGTCGAGAACGGCTGAACTGATTTCGACAGTTCTCATTAATTCAGAATGGCCTCTTGGCAGAAAAGAAAAAAAAAATCTCATAAAAATATCTCTCTAAAGATGAAACTATTGATTTTGTAAAATGTTCTCATATTTTTTTCAATTTTGTCATATTTTTGGCATATTTTCATTTTGAATTAAACATTTGGTAATATTTCTACAGCTAACAAAAATAAGTGGTTAGGATATCAGGATATCATATACAGATCGCATTTATGGCCCGATCCTTACGAAATTTTGCATGGAGATAAGATGAGGGTCAGAATAGAAGCCTACTCTTTTTGGAGATGATCGCCATATATTTAGGGGCTGAAATGGACCAAAAAACTGCAAAATTGTCTGCAGGTCGTAATTATCGCCCGATCCTCACGCACATTTGAATGGGGGTTACCGGACATTACAAAAGCCAAGCAGTTTTGGATGGCCATCCAAAAATATTCAATGTGTGAAATAGTTTGCCAACTTTTGTAGACAAAATACGAAAATGTCCATTCCAGTGACTTTTTGGAGAATTCACAAATACAGGAAAGACGCACTTCTGACTATTTCGTTAACGCTGATTCCGATG